AAAGTCCAAATAAAAGAGCCATGCAAAAAGTTTGTCATTGCAGATGACACCAGAGAAGTATGTGTTTAAAATGTCATTTTAATTGATTGCTGATATCATACTCAATTGAAAGATGCAAAGATTGTATATTTGCCACCGGAATAATATTGTTTTAAATTTTTAGCAAAAGAGTTACAGTTTTGTATTTGTTTATTGAGGTTAGGCCATAACGCACTGCTGTGAATTTTCTTTTCCATCCTTCTTTTAGTTTTCCAGTTCACAGAGAGCAGCTCAGTAACTGATGGACTAATATGAGCCATGGGGAGCCGGGGGTAGGTGAGGGTAGGGAAGGTGACATAGCTGAACTAGAGGGATTATACCATAGTTTGTTCTATCTTTTTCTTTTCTTTTATTTTTTTTCCTTTCTTGGTGAATTCCAGGATCCATTTTCTGACATTCCACAGAGCCATTTTGTTGCTACCAGATTACTGTTGGCAATGATCATGGAAATCCTATCTAATTTGCATATTTACTTTCTTAGGAAAACACTGACGTGGCAAAGAAGTGAAATACTTACTTTGATTGTGCTTTTTAGATGACTATGACCAGTGCATATGTCAATACTTTTGTAAAATTTATGAAGCATGATAAGTTTTACTTATATGTACTTGATAATAAGTGTAATTATTGAAAATATGCCTCGTAAGGATATTAGGATTAAGTGATATGAAATATGCATAATAAATAATATTTTGTTTGAAATGTAGTAGGCACTAAACTAATTAGTGACCATTATCCATTGGTCAGTTTCATAATTTGTTTTGTGTGTGTGTATTTTAATTCTGGAATACTTATCTATTCCAGCTGAACTAGCACATTTGATATACTTTATTTCCCTTCACATTTTTTATTATGATTTTTTTTCTTTATTGTCTAAAGTTTTACCTATGTCTCCTTTTTTCCCGAGTTGCCCCCCCCACCCCCAGCCATTCCCACACCGGGCAAGCCCCCACAGCCCCAGTGTCTGTGTCCATTTTCCCTTCACATAGGCATGCATACAAGTCCTTTGATTGCTCTCTAACACCCCCACCACCACCATTTGTCTCTGGATCTATTCTTGTTCATCCAATTATGTTTGTTGATCATTATATACCACATATGAGTGAGATCAAGTGATATTTATCTTTCTCTGACTGGCTTATTTTGCTTAGCATAATGATCTCCAGTTCCATCCATACTGTTGCAAATGGTAAGAATTTATTCTTTTTTACAGCAGCATAGTATATATAGATATATATATATTTAAAAATCTGCCACCTAACTTTTAATTTTTAGTATACTTTTTATTGAAATATAACACACATAAGAAAGTACAAATTTTAAGTGTCTAATATAGACCGCTGAATTTTCATAAACAGAACACACTTGTGTAACCCAAATCCAGATCAAGACAGAATATTGCCAGCACCCCAGAAACTCGTCATTCCCCCCTCCAATCACTATACCCTGACTTTTAACACCAAGGATGGATTTTGACTGATTTTGAACTTTATATGAATGAAATCATACAGTACGCAATTTTCTGTGTCTAGCTTTTTCTAAAATTCTCTTCACTTTTAATTCTGGTATAATGCTGAAACCAGTTCTTCCAAGAGAAATGTCTCTTAAATTGGATTGTAGGCTTTCTAACTAATTGTGGCATTACTATAATGTTTTTTAAAATTAGTATTAGCATCCAGTATTATCACTCATTAATTTCAATTTAGGAAAATTTTAAAAATATTGATTTCAGAGAGGAAGGGAGAGGGAGAGATAAAGACATCAATGATGAGAGAGAATCATTGATTGGCTGCCTCCTGCTCGCCCAACAATGGGGATTGAGCCCACAACCCAGCATGTGCTCTTGACCGGAACTGAACCAAGGACCCTTCAGTCTGCAGGCCAGTGCTCTATCCACTGAGCAAAACCAGCTAGGGCTTTTTAATAAAATTTTTAAATTAGAAATTCCAGAAGTGGTACAGGGTGTTGGTGTGGATGTGTCTTGAGATAGAGACTCTTAAAAGAAAAACCAATAAAAAATAAATGTACAAAGAGGTGATCAGAGATTAACTTACTACTTTGCCTAGACAAAGAATCTGAATCAAATTTATTATAACACTAGAGGCCCGGTGCACGAATTCATGCATGTGTGGGGTCCATAGGTCTGGCTGGCCATCTGGGCGTGCTGGCCTCGGGGAGAGATGAGGGAGGGACTGTGGGCCCAATGGGGCCTGCTGCCGGGGAGGGACGAAGAGGTGATCAGAGATTAACTTACTACTTTGCCTAGACAAAGAATCTGAATCAAATTTATTATAACACTAGAGGCCCGGTGCACGAATTCATGCATGTGTGGGGTCCATAGGTCTGGCTGGCCATCTGGGCGTGCTGGCCTCGGGGAGAGATGAGGGAGGGACTGTGGGCCCAATGGGGCCTGCTGCCGGGGAGGGACGAACCGGGAGGG